ACTCTATGACTCAGCAGAAGCCGAGACTGAAAAAGCCTGTTTCAGCAAGGACCGGTGGTTTTAAGATGCTAAAGTATCCAGAGGCTTTTCTAATCCCTTAAGCTATTTTCCATGCTGTTTTCCTATTCAGTTAGTTGCAGACATGTAAAAGAGAACTACTGCATATTCCATGATAGCACTGCTTTGCTATCAGTTGTCAAAAAGGAGGACGAGGAAGATGCAAAGACTCCTGCCCAAGCAAAGCTCACAGAAGAGCTACTGAGAACAGAGGCTCATTCAGCTCCGTGGAAAAAACTGCTCAGGTCTTTGGGATACGAAAAACTTTCTAACAAGGATAAGGAGAGGCAAAACGTAGACTTCATTCCTCAGCAAGCCAACCCAGCAGGGTTAGATGCATGTTATGGAGTACCCTGCACTCCCTTAGGTAGTCCTGTGTAAATTTGACATGGACATCACATAAATATGTATTTCATTACATTTACAGAGTTTACGTCTGTTTATATAAAAAAAAAAAGTAAACCTTTAGGTTACTTTTCATAAACTTGCCTCTGCACTGAGTTACGGTAAAAAGAAAGTAGTGAGGAAATAGTGTGATTACACATATTCAAGTGGTCACCATTCCAGACTTAGTAGCTTATACCCATATACCTTCCCTTTGCAGTTTTATGAATGAAAATTAGATGTCAGAATATATCTTTCTGCATCCAATCTGTTTATGTCTAAAATTGAGAGGAACTTTTAACATTGATTTAAATGACTGAATCCCTGGAACTCATGAGAGCATTTTCTATCCGTTCTAATGGGAAGCATGTAACTGCGGTCTAGGCTCATTTCAAGGTGCAATTTAAATGTCTGAACATTTTCCCTTTTATACAGGTCTAGGCTCACATGTCTCATTTTGTTATGCACATTTCCTCAACACAGTAGCAGAGACGAGGTCTTTTTAAATGATGGGAGAGTCCACAGTCACCAGAAAGGCATTACTTTTGACTGATAGACTCCCTTGATTCTGTATTACTAACCCAGAACAGCCTGTCCCAGAGTCTCTGCCTCTAGCTTCTAGCGCTGTGCTTCTTCAGCCCTTAAAAGGAGTTAACGCAAAACAAGCACTGTAAAAACATGTCTGTCTTTGCCCAAGGTGCCTTTGCATTGCAAATTCCAGCAAGCCAGTAAGCCAGATGCAGCGTTTGGACTACCATAAGAAACGAGTGAGGGCGGCCATTTTGGAGACAGTTGGTTTTAGCAGATTAATGAGCAGCTTTATCTGTTTAAACCGTTTCTAGACATACTACCTATAGATAATGCTTACCACACATACATGCACAGTGTCTGTATTGCTTCACAGGGTCTCCTGGTAGTGCTGCACGTTAGGGAGTGTTTAAGACAAGTTTAAGGCAAACATTCTTTTTTGTGTCTATCCAAGTACCTTTTAAATAAGTACAGGAACCAATAAGCTCTTCCTGTTTCAATCTAGTGATGTGCTAGCATCATGTAATTTATATCTGACACACTTTCCAGGGCTCACAGAGTCTGGGTGTGAATATGTCCTTGGGCACAGTCAAAAGCACATGCTTTAAGTAAGGGAAAGGCAGTCATCTCTTTGCAGAGCCGTTCTTATAGTCCCATGTTTCTGGAGTCATTATGTTAGAATAAATAGGATAAATTAGAATAAAATGGAAGACCCTCAAATAGTTTCAAGGGATTGAGCCAGAGAATATGTCTAGGTAGTAATTTCTCAGACATGATTTATGCTTCTGATCTTATTGTCTATGTTGGCAGTAGAAATGAGAGTAATGTAGGAGTAGCTTCAACAGCTCTGTACCATCAGAAGATTGCTTTTTTTTGCGAGAGAAATCCTCAAGGGCCATGCGCCCCACCTCAGTCGTCAGAGTACTCTGGCAGTTCTAACTGCAAATGGCTGGAGTGAATAGCATGAGAAGGAAAGGAAGACATCTTCAAGGAGATTATGGTCAATCTGACCACTTGTATAATACACAGCATTAAAAAAATTGTGTATCAGGGTTGTTCATGAGCTCAGTAGAAGGCTCAGTCCTGCCAGGTTAGCAGTAAATAGAGAGAAAAAGCTCTACAGGAGGAAGGTAAATCCTATTTTCTGCCCTCTTTTTTTTGTTTAAATTCTGGAAAAGGGAGCAGTGGTAATCTTGGAGGAATTACATGAAGAAATAAATGTATCCCTGACCCAGTCGGTTAGAAACAGTGGCCATCAGAACTGGAGGAAGTTTTGATCTGACATACCCAGAACTCCACACTAGCCAGTCAAGGTAACTTCAGATCTGGATAGACTCCCAGATCTAGACTTACAAAACTTTATCCCTTACATCACTACTTTTTTTTTCTTGAATTGATGCCAAGCTGCAGAGAAATTCCGAGGGAAATGCCAGCACGGTGGCAATGCACAGTCAAGCCAGTGATGCTGTGTAGCACAGCAGCACCGCAGACAGCCGTGGTTCTGGAACGGTGAGATGAGTACGTCATTTTAAAATGACCAATTTATTTCAGCGGGTGTGACAGGTACACTTACAAAGTTTGTTCCGGTTCTCAAGCTATTATTGTAGTTTCCACTTCAAATATGGAAGTTTCATTTCTAAATTAGGAAATAGCCTTCAGTGTGTGCTCACTGTATTTAAAGCATCTCAAAATTACATGATCTGCATATAGATTTTAGGCTGTCTGTAACTTGTCCTTCTAACTTTACTCTTTACAAACATTTCAAATTACTGGGGCAAGGGTGGAGGCCTTAGGATGAATTTGCCTTTTTTCAAAATACTTCTACAGAAAACATCAACACAAATTTTAAATACTTCACAGGTTTTGAATTTGGGCTTTCTTGCTGTTTTCTTTGTACGTTGCTTTTGCTTTAATTACCTTCAGAGATGTATATTTTGACAACATCTTTTCCAGTTTGAATTCAGCGCCTAACAAATCCTACAGAGGTTGAGAAGTATGCACTGGCATTTCATCACATTATTTTTTGTCAGCTGCAGACCATGTAACTGCTGCTGCAGAGATGCACTGACAGAAAGCGTATAAAGAATTGGATGAATGGCACACAAAAATATGTCACTGTGATGACCTTGAAGTGTGTAATAAATACACTCCACAGACATAAATCAAGGTGGGAGAAATGGCCCATGGAATGTCTTTACCCTACGCACACACACGCGCATTACCACCAAAAAATCACTCAAGAGCTCCTTGGCGCTGAAGCAGTGATTTCCACCACTTGTCCAAGATACCTCAAGGAACCGAGTCTTTAACTTGGGGACATACCTGACAATCAGCCTGTCTAGGAAAGACTAGATTTTGTCTCAGGGTGAGCCCTTCTCTGCATGTTTCTGTATCCACCTTTCCAAGGGCATGATCCTCACAAAATGCTTGGAGTGCCCTTCCCTTTGTACAGACAAACTAGGACAAGCCAGCTTAAATATGACTCATTGTTATTATTTAAGGAATACTTCAAGGAGTCATTCCTTGTGCTGGTACTTGTGTAGTATCTCTCAAGACCTGTAAATCCACTACTGCTGTTCTGCTTATTTTTCCCCTTCTTTACTAACAGGAGGGGGAAGAATTTGGGCTTAAAAATAGCAAGCGAATTTGAAAGTAGAAAGTGTATGATAACTGCATGACCATTGCATTTTGATTTTTCAAATAAAAAAGTTGAACCGTCTTTCCTTTAGAGTCCCTTGCTGGAAAACCAAGGGCTGTATGTCTTCATTAGCGATAGGGACCTAAATGGTGAAGCAGTAGACAATATATGAAACCCCAGCCTTATTAAAATCAGTACCTTTCTCCCATTGACTCTGAAGGAAGGAGGATTTCATTCCAGAAATTAAAACTGTCTGTCAAGCAATCCGATTACATGAGGAAATGTAAACTAGAGGCAATGATTTCATAACATTGAATCTAGGCCATATATAAAAGCTGCTTGAAAAATTATATGATAGTATTTTACTACTATCTTTTTTTATAATAGTTTGCAAATAAATATATATTTTCTGAGGCTCATGGCAAGATTTCAATTATAGTAGTTCATGTTGAGTATAACTTTGTTCCAGGAATGGCACAAACAATGCCTGTTTTTCCAGTATTGTGAGGGTATCTGAAGCTGGTCCTGTGAAATTTCAGTTCAAAGTAAATCCAGATGGATTAAATCAAGAATACTGTTGAAATGCAGAGTGACTGGGGAAAAATGAAGAGGGAAGGACAGAGTTTGGATTATAAGGCTGAAACAAAAGATATATGGACATATAAAACAGTAAAAGACAATTAGAAAATATATTTATACTAAATTAAAACTTTATTGACTAATGTTCTCCAGACAACATGATCCGATGGACTATGGTTGCATACATGCAATGAAGTTGAACACAACAGTAGTTTAACATGGAATGTCAAACAAATTAATATAATGTATTAAATGAAACAATTTATCTGTGTTGCTGCAAAATGAAACCACGCTATGCATTTCCTTGGTCAATCTGTGTTCAGCTAAGAGGCTATGCATTTGAAGAAACTGGTAGATTTCTTTAGCATATATTTCAAATAAATTAGCTAGAATTGTACTCTTTAAAAATCCTTTCAACTTCACTTGCATTTCAAACAAAATCTAAGTGTAAACACTAAAGTTGCTAGAGCCATCTAGAAAGACCTGTCAAACTCAGAGTGGACATTACAGTTCAGTAAATGTGAATATTTAGAACAAGAAAAATACCAGTTACTGCAAAAGTCATGTAGGCATATTTTATTATTAATCCAGCACAAAGCATTTCTTCTAAGTTTCTCACATAAAAGACTAAAGCTTGCTTACAGTACTACATCTTCTATCATTCAAGCATCATTATTACCTACCAGGGAGATTGGCTAGATGACCTAATGGGTCTTTTCCACCCCTAACTTCTACAAAAGAAAATCATTCATGCCAGCAAGAACATGGTTCGCTACATCTTGGGCTTGATCCTGCAGCCTTCGTTCAGGAGATTTTCCAGAGCGAGACATCCAGGATTAGGCCCTTTTTATTTTTTATTTTTAAAAAAGCATCCATTTAGGATACATGGAAAATATTCTATAGAATTAAAAAAATATAATGACATGTGCTTCGCTTGCATTGAAGGAATCAGAGAATGTAAACACCATAGTGGCCCACATCTTCACAATATCCATGAGAAAGTGTCAACTGCAAGTAATCTGTGTGCATTTATTTCTCAACGTATGCTTTGAGGGTGTTTTGTGTATAACTTTATCTCCACATCCACACACGTAAGTACACCCTTAATATACATAAAGGTGTGACAAAATTCACTAAAGGCAGTTGCTTGCCTGTCTCTCAAATCTGCAAGTGGCAGCAAACTGGGTTTTATATAATGCTAATTAGACTGTACGTGAGCAGCAGGACACGGATATTGCTGTGGGCAAGAGAGTGTGGTTGCCGGTTCTGCGAGTGTGGAGCCATCCCACTTACGCACATCACAAAATCTACCTGTGTGAAGGGCTGGAAAAACAGGTGACCAAAGTATTTCTTGGTGGGCCATGTCTGAAATTTGAATTGAATGATTCAAAGGCTGTCGGTTGTCCTCACAGGAGCCTTTCGACAACCTGGAGGACCACGTAGGAAAGTTTACCTTCAAAGTGCACTTTCTAAGAATGGAATGTTCTTGACAGGGAAATGATCAGAGGCACTCCTGGACTTTTTTGCTTGTTGAATAGGAAAAATGTTTTCATCTTCAGGCAGCACTTCACCCTGACAAATGTGAGTTCAGTTATTATTGGGTTTTAGTATTACAGAAGATTCTTTAGAAACAAACACAATAGTACACACATACACATACACTCAGATATTTACAGCCTTTCTAGAAAAACAACCCCCTACCTTAGTACTGACTACCTTTTTCCTTTTTTTTTTTTCTTGTTTTTTAGTATTTAAATTCTTTAAACCAGCTACATTAAATACCAATGTGTATTGTACCACCCCACACCAACCCCACATCCCCCCAAAAAACAGCAAGTAATTTTTAAAAGTTTGTTCGCTTGTTTGTTTTTATGATTGTTAAAATCTCCTGCTTGAGACTGTTAAGTACCACCTCCACTGGAACAAGATCAGCACTGACTGCATCTTCCAATGCACGTCGTTTCATAGTTGAGCAAGTACTGCAGCTAGAAGCTTAGATCTCCAGATCATCAGGTCGAGGCCTGCTGCTGGCTCGGCTGCTGGCTCGGCTGGGAGGCCTCTGGTCCACAATGGTGAGGGGTTGCAGCTCGTGTCCCGACGCCAGCTTTTTAGTGTTCTGGTGCTCATCGGAGAAGTCGAAGGGCTGGGCGTGTGAGTTGGAGATGGTGCTGCCAGCCTGCCCCATTCTGTTCTGCTCCGCGCTGTAGTTGGCCCAGTTTTGCTCGCTGGCTTGCTTATTGTAGTTACGACAGGAGGAATTGTTCCTGTCTCCGGTAACGAGCTTGTACCCCGGGGGAGACATGGGAGACAAGGGGGCGGTCGGTGAGGAGCAGCCATTGTAATAAGCATATTTGGGGGAGCCACAGTCCTTGGAAGGGCTCATGGCACCACTGTGGGAGTAGGGGTCGGTTTTCCCTTTCACACGATCCTTGACACCCTTGAAGAACACATAGAAAAGCTCGATGATGTTCAAGGCAAGAGACACCAAGGACACAACCAGCATGAAGAGGATGAAGATGGTTTTCTCAGTTGGACGGGAGAGGAAACAGTCCACTCTGTGCGGGCATGGATCTCGCTCACAGGTGTAGATGGCATTCAGGCTAAACCCATAAATGTACCACTGTATCAGCAAGAACGCCACCTCGAAGACAGACTTAAACAGGATGCTGATGATATAAGTACGGAGCAGTCCCCCACGCATCTTCACTTTGCCATGCTCTTCGATCCCATACTTGAATTTCTTAATTTCTATTTGCTTGAGGTGCATTTCCACATTCACACCATCATTTTGGACCACCTTGAGCTCTTCTTCTCTTTTGTTCAGCTTCTCTTCTTTCCTCATTACGTAGAACACATGCGCCAGGTACAAAAGGGTAGGTACAGACACAAATATGATCTGCAGAACCCAGAAGCGTACATGGGAGATGGGAAAGGACTTGTCATAGCAGACGTTCTCACAACCAGGCTGTTGAGTGTTGCACCGAAAAGCAGACTGTTCATCTCCCCAAGCAGATTCGACTGCTGTCCCCAATAGCAAGATTCGGAAAATAAAGAGGACAGACAGCCACACTTTCCCTCCAGCAGTAGAATAGGCTTGAACCTTGTCAAGAAGTTTTCCCAAGGCACTCCAATCACCCATCTTCACAGGATGCTGGCTAAAGAAGGACACAAAGAAAAAAAAATAGTGACGGTTAAGGCAGAGCTTTAATACCTTTGATACACTGAATCACAGATCAATAGTAATAGAGCAGTGATGTCAGCTTTGTTTTAATTAATGTGGTTTACATGCTCTGAAGAGAAACCAGAGGTTTATTTTGTCTGCAGGTGGAGTGGGAAGTCAGGGAAACTGGAAAGAGAAAGTAACATATAACAAGTCAGAGCGCAATGAAAAAAGAGGTTTCTAATTTCACTTCAGTTTTCAAGAAGTCCATGACAACCCTCAGTTGCCACCAGGGTTGGCTCAGTTTCCTTTGGTGGCAGCCTGAGTCCAACGACCTACACCTGCCTCAGGTACAAAGCAGCTGTGACGCACCGCTGAAGCAGGGTGTGGAATACGTAGTGGCACTGCCTGAATAGGCTAGGAATAAATGAAAGATTTCTCTCTCCCAGCGTGGATCATTCACGCTAATTTTTAAGTTCACCCTTTAGGAGAAGAAGAAAGCAAACCACAGCATAACCTAAATGCAAAACGTTATACTAAGTTAATGTTAGGGTCGGATACCTGAAGTTTTACCATTGCAAAATGTGTGCTATTTTTCCTACAGGAACATTCTTGCATGTCACTACCTTGTGTGTAAAATATTTAAGAGTATAGTTCTAATGATGCCAAGTTCATACTGTACTCAACTTCAGAAAAAAACATTGCTATCTAAATGAAGTTTATACATTAATATTTGCAGCACAAAGATCAAAGTTAGTGTTCGTTACCTATACTTTTATGAAGCAACCAAACATAGTAAATACATGGAAGCACAGCTAAGCTCATGATACCATATTGGAGGAACTGGTTTCCTGTTTATCCTTGGCTTGCTTAATTTATTGTAGTTTCAGCTTTGTATTTGCATCTTTTTTATTTAAATTCCTTCACTTTGTTTTGAAAGGAAAAAATATTTAGCAAGCTAAAAAGGTAAATGAGCTCTGCCTGTTTTTAAGGCAACTCCTGGCAGTGCAGTTTGCATTCCAAGTGTCGAACACTGCAAGTTTAAATTGTGTCTCTCGATTTAAGTTTAAAAGTGCACATTTCTGGGGGACAGGCAGCTTCTCAGGGGTATCTGGAAATGCACAGGATGACATGAAAGAAATGAAATGGTTTACTTGATGTTCTAGATTCATAGGAAAAACAAAGTTCCCTATAGGGTTTTTATCAACTGGAGAATGGTAATCTTATCTGTATAAAAACTTACATTTTAACTTGCCCCACGTGAACAAGCCTGTGAAATCGGCAACTTAAAAGGAAAAACAATCACAAAGTTTCCCTTTTAAAGTAGATGCTGCCGGGTATAGATATTTGTTACGTGCATGCTGAGTAATCCCTTCCTGGTATTAATAGTTTTGATACTGTCCAAATTATTTCCTCGCCATCACATCATGGATATATTCCCTAGCGAAGGTCATTTGTAGAAAAAAAAGCCCTTTTTGGATAATTCATAAAATAGGAAGTTTTAGCACCAAGGACATTTTCTTTCAAGAAGCAGTGAGTCACTGGAAACACAAGATTATAAGTCTGGCAAACTCAACCATAACAATACATGCCAAATAAAAACACACCGTTCTTGCCATCGGAAAGAGTCTGAGAAGAGTAATGGGAGAAAAGCGTTTAAAGTACTTGGTCCGATAGCTCCGAGATGCCAATTATCTTTGAACCCCTGAAAAATATCCCAGGGCTATTTCCTCAGTCCACTGAGTCAGCTTGCTCTGAAGTTTACCTACTGCGGGGTGCAGACCCTTCCTCACGTAATTAGTTCTTCACATGAATGAAGCCCCATCAAAGGATCAGGTTTGCATCAGGCTTTTAAATCTGGAAGCCTCTGCTGGGAGGAGTACACACACGGTGTGGCGCATTTATCTCTGACGCATCCCTTCAGCCATCCCCAGCTTTAGTCCTGTCCAGGAAAGGCTGGTTTGTCTTTATGGGCTGGGGGTGGCACAGAAGGAGACGGGCACACAAGCACCGTCTCTGGAAAGGCTGGAATGAAATGTGATCACGTTCCTCCTCAGGCTGGGATTGTTAAAACAGAGAACAGCCTCTAACTATACTACACGTGAAGTTTGTTTTAGAGGAAAGCTATTTGCTCCGTGTCCTAGAAGTGGCAGGGGACATAAGGAGCCTTTTTCAAGTAACAGCTTCTTGAGTTAATTAGTCGGCTTTCCGATGATTTGAAACTACTGCATTAACAGACTTTCCTCAGACTCAACGTATTTTTTTACTTTCTAAATGTTATTTCAGATTGAAAGTCTGATTAAGAAAACAGAGGACGTGTTCTTTCTAGGCAGTTATGTGTTGTTTGTTTTTTAATTACACTCCACTCTGGTCCATTAATGCAACATGATTTACTTCAGTTTTGACCTACTTAATCTCACACCTGCAATATTTTGAGAATTTACTACCTATTTTTTAATTTGCTTCAGCATGCAAAATTGCTAAGTTTCATTTATGTCCTCTGGCAATATAAACTCCAGGAGGAAACATTCCATGCTTGAGTTACTCATGCATAGTTTTGAAAAGCAACTTTTTTTTAAAGAGATCAGTTACACGCTAGCCTTTGCCAGTGATAAAAAACCCCACATCAATTCAAAACATTGTGCTGTTAATCAGATAACCTTGTGGTGGCACAAATACATTATTCCTTTGCTGAAGTGGATTCTGTTGCTTTATGAAACACAGTACTTTGTTTTGTTGTAGAGAAAATTCATTCATTGGATCTAACTTGTTTACTTTCAGGGCACTACAAGACCACCTTTATTAACTGATTACAATATCTGTTTACTAGGTATAAAAAGAGAGTTTGTATCAAACAGTTATTTAAGTATTCTAGCTTCGTAAATAGTTTGAAATAGATGGCAGATAACCTTTAAAAATAGTTTGTCAGCATTCTGGACTTAAACTTCTTTTAACACTTCCAAACACCTTAAATGAGTCCAATGAATGACACAGGTTGACCTGGTCTATTGATACCATTTCAGTACTTGAGGAATTTAAGGATATGGCTGATGATGAGTACGTGTGTTTCATGAGTTCTTACTGATCATTACTTTACAGGTTTATAGCCTTTTTCTGAGACAGACTAATGCCAGCCTAGTAAACTCTTTTAAAAGATGGATTTCTTCCAGGTCCTACTGTGTGTGGGTAAAGAGAGGAAAAAAAGCCATAGAGCAGCAGGAGATACGACAGCATTCATCTGCAGGGGTTTTGGATGACCACATATATAAGAAATTTGATTTGTAAGCCACAATTAAGAAATTCTAGAACTCTTTTTTATGGACGGCATTCATCATGTCATCTGGTTCGTATTTTCCAGGAAGAATAATGCAAGCTCAGTGCCGTGGTAACATGCCCGGGTCTGACTACAGTGTTAGAAGGTCACATGCGAGTGGACGGAAGAGCAGTGAGGGTTAGAATGGGACCTAAGAGGGACTGTGCAGCTGAAGCAGTTGGGAAGCAGGCCAAAGTTTTGGTATTCCAACCTTTCCTACCTTTTTGTGTGTGCTCACATACACATAAGTAGCCAACAAAAGAGAAGATTCTGGACCTTGAACATCAGTCAGCTTGAGTATTTCCCAAAAGCAACCAGCACTGCAGAGAAAGCCGCTGAGATGAGGTTAGGATGGGTTGGAACAGGGAAGGCTCATTTTCTGAAACCTCACAAAAATCAGCGAATATCTTCCAGACATTCCCCTGGGAAGGTGTAGTTCATTTGTAGGTCTGCAGATGAGCTTCAGTTTATTTCATCCACCGGACAAAGTTTACGCACTAAATGGTGGCAGTAACTAGAATTTAAAGTCTGGCGACTGTGTGGGTTTTTTGTTGGCTGCTAATATTGCTGGTGGGCAGCCACTCAGTGGATCTACCCCATAGCCTTTGCCTGTCCCTGTGTTGTACCCTCTCCGCCTAATTTAATTCTAAAGCATAGTTGCAAAACCAACCGTAAGCACTTTCTTAGACATTCCCTAGTACAAGTCAGGTCTACCCTCTGCGTTACTGCCCAGATTCATCCCCCTCCTGACTCACTTTGGAATTAAAGAGAAGAAACACTGAATTCCCCAAGGGGGCCTGGGGTCCACCGATGCTCCTGCTTGCAGATTTTGAAATCTGGATTTCTAAAATGTACGTGTAGCATAAACAACAGACCAGGTGCCTCCATGCAAGATAAATTCAGTGGGTAACATGGGGGGAGATACCAGAGACCAGGGGAAATCTGTTTCATCAGACACGTTGCTCAATGTCATCTAACCTTCCTCATCCCCACAGGAATCCTTGGCCTAAACCGACGTTCATTTCAGAGACAAATAAAATTAATCTTTCAGACTTGCATAATATGAAAGCTGAGATAACTTTACAATGTTCATCTGTTTGTGCTCGAGCGTTTAAGCATTCAGATTTATGTCGCAAATCAAATCCCTTGTGCCCCTCTCTTCCCCCTCCTGAACCCAGCCTGCTGCTCGCCCTTCTCCCATTTGTATGCTTGTTAGGTATCATGGGTCAGTGCCAGTGTTTGGCTTTGAAGTTTCTGAAGGAAACACTTCAGTAAACATCCCAAAGACTAGAGGCTTAAATTCTGCCGTGTAGTGTGCTGTCCAGATGTTAAAAATGGCAGGATGAAAGCTTCCCGCAAGTCCTCCAACTTGCTCCCTATGCGCACACATGCACGCACACACATAGAAGTCAGGCACAAGGTGTCTGTAGCCCATTTTTGTCCCCATTACCAGGGGTTTTGGCCATAAATCTCACATATAAAAATCCAAAGGAGCTCCTCAGACAAAATATGCCCCTTCATGAGGCTCGCTGGTTATATCAAGGCAAGATGTGAGGACACACATAAGCACACGATATTCTTGTTTAAGAGGAGAATGTGTTACTCGATAAGATAGCCTCTGTGCTTCGTCGGTCTTTCAGATGAAGGCTCTTTCTCCTGCCTCCTCGTGTTGCTCTTTAACTACTGGCAAGCAGCAGGCAGCAATTGCAACGCGGAATCACTCCAAGTCTTGCAACGTAAAAAGCTTTTTAGTTCTCCAAGAGATGCTGCTCAAGTGTTCCCCCCGCCTGCGTTCTGGTATTCAAGCCTCCAAGGCAATATCAAGGGAATGTGTCAGATTGGGATTATGACACATAATGTGGATAGCCTTGCACAGTTCTTTCTAGAGAACTTTCGTTTGTATCTACCCAAAGACTTTCACAGCCATTGCCAACGTGGTAAGGCATATCGTGCTCTCTCCTTCCTTCTCTAAAATCCCTCACCGAGGTTGCTAAAACAGAGTAACTATATACAAACCAGGTTAAAAATCCATAACCCACGTCTGGATTTTATCACATCTATTTTAAACGAAACGGGGAAAACTTACCAGGAAGACCACGTGAAAGTCACCCCTGCAGTAGCTGCAGCATTTAACAAAGCACCTAATTAAGAACCTTGCCCTGCACCAGCTCTTAGGCACTGAGCCGGATTTCCGTAGGAAAGCAAAATGTGTGGGGCAGAAAGGGGATGCGCTCAGGCCAAGAAGGTCTCCCCGTTCCAAACTTCGGGTGCAGTTTCGGTGCACGAGAGGAAACCGAAGCACACCTCGGCTTTTTGGGTTACTTTTTTTTTCCTTTAAGGGAGCTCGTGTAGGCTGAGGCAAGCCCCGAGGAGCGCTTTCCCCCAAACACAAGCAACAAGTCTGCAAGGCAGCCCCTACAGTTACAACTTCGCTGCAGTTTCTCCTTCAGCGGAACGAGAAGTTGGAAAAGTGCAACATCTGGAGAAATGTATCGACAAGTATGACCAAAGGAAGCAAAGAATTCCTACAAGCTTGAACGTGGCACTTTAAAAGAACTTAGGCTTTCAGAGATGCGGATTTTTCAACAAGTTCAACCATCAGCGCAGTAACACAAAATTCTTAGGGTGAGGGAGAAAAAAAAAAAAAGGAAAAAGTCATTTCAGAAAAAGTGATACACAAAAAGATGAAAAAGGAAAACTTTCAACTTACCCTTGCTGATCAGCAGTGAAACTGGATCAGAACACTTCTTTGGAGGGTTAAAGTAAAATGGAAGAGCACGTTCAGGCACTCAGACCTGGCTATTTAAACTTTAAAAGTCTACTGCTGTTTTGTATTTTTCATCCTTCCTTCCCCACTAATGAAAGAAAAGTGCTGATACCTCGTAAAAGTTTTTTTCCAACTTGGAACACTGGGAGAGCTTTTAACAAGTTTTCAAGCCTCTGACTGCGAAGAGGAGGGGAAACGGCGGGGGAGCAGCCCCGGAGGAGGGGCGGGCTGCGAGGGAGAGGAGGGAGGTGGGGGAGGAGGGAAAGAACTGAAGGCACAGCAAAAACCAGCCCGGGGAGGGAGCGGGGGCGGGAAAGTCCGCTCCTGCTGATGGGACAAAACAAGTTACGAGGGCAGTCAGCACCCACACCCCCCCTCCCAAAGTCCCCCCGGTCACCGAGGGCACCTGGGTGGCCCTCCATCCCGAGCGGGGCTTGCCCGGGGCAGATGAACCGCCTTCGCTCCCTGGCGCGCACCGGGAGTTTCGCTACAGGGAAAGGAAAAAATGGGCGAGGGGGATCAATGGGCGACCAGCCTGAGCCTCCCGGCTGCCGGGGCTGGACCGCGTCCCTGCCGCCCCCGGCCCCTCTGCCCCCAGGAAGGGGGAGGAAGCCCTCCCAAGCCCCCTCTTCTTCACGTTGTGAACACACCTTTGTTTACTGAGGTCTCTTTCCTTTACGTGCACACATGGCAGTACGCACTCAGAGCAGCGCATTTGTTTCTACAGGAGATACCCACTGCACGTTTTTGGTTTTTATTATTATTATTGTTATTATTATTATTATTATTTGTGTGTGCGTGTGTGTGTGTTCTCCCATGGGAGAAATGGAGAAATTATCTCACATTCCAGGAAACTCTTTCCAGGAAACTTCAGAAATTAAAGCATAGTACAGCGAATCAATCTTCAACAGTGAGAAGAAACACTCCTAATAATTCTTGAGCGCATTTTACAGAATAAAAGTGTGCTCCCAAACTGATCTATTCCATTAGAACAAAACTAGTTTGGCATTGCTCCTGACCAGTTAAACACCTCCTCTGCAGAGCAGAGATTGATTTACTTCTCTGCCAGTGTTAAGCTCCTCACATATGGAGTCCAAACTGCGTTAGGATTTGGTCTTGTACTTGCTCGTCTCGTGGGGTATTAGCTCCTCTGTGGGACTGCTTAAGAGCTTCTCTAGAAGTGGTCATGGTTAGATAGTTCTCAATGAAGTTTCACATTTTAGATCGTACCAGAGTCATTTGGGCTTCAATTCATGTTATTCTCATGGGCTATTTCTGGGCTCCTTAGCGCAGATGAGCATTTTTTGCTCATTTAAAGTCTATAAAGGAGGGGAGAAGTCCAGTAATGGCCATTGAGAGGTTCCCAAATAAAGGTCCTCTTTATAGTTTCTCCATGAAATAATGAATGCTACGCTCTACAACACAATCTAGATATTGCTGCTAATATTTCACAGCCCTTACCTACTGCTTTTCACCCAGAACTCCCTGGAGAAGAGAACTAAGACAAGATCTTTGTAGAAAGATACTCAGCGGGGAGCTTTGAAGCTGGGAAAGAAACACACAGTCCTGGTTCTTGCTCTGGAGTTGTTTGTAGCAGACCACACTGCCTCCTGTTTGAGAAAAAGAGCTAGTACACTGCATCTGTGCACCTTCCGTTCACCTTCCTCTGGCTACAGACGGCGACGGCCGGTTTCCCTAGCTTGCCCCCTTTCCTTTGATACTGGCTGTTAGTTTTGACAGCTTTTTTAGTTTTTACAGTTGTCCAAGCCATATGGCAAAAAGAAACCTTTTCTTCATGTTCCTTGAGTGTTTTGGGGGTTTTTTTAGGTTGCTTTTTCTCTTTACAGCAAGGGAGAAACGGAGCTTTGTGCTTAACAGGCTGTGGGCCCTTCTTCTTGAGAATTAAAAAATTGTAATATACAAACCAAAGCGTTTCACTGCCCTTCTAACTATGGTATAGACAGTGAGTGGAGTGCATATAATGCTCTGCTACTACCCCATAAAACACTGGGTATTCTAGAGCAAAGTACAAGATACCAACAACATGGCTTCATGTGGGCCGATACTGAGACAATGGAGAAATTTGGGATATCGTATGGAGAGATTTGGGATATCTTATGTGTTGGTGCTGAAAAAGCTGCTCCTTAGCAAAGCAACTTTATGCCAGGAAAAAAACCTTAAATTATAGCACGCTAGTATACAATGCTGTCGTTCCCTGTCAAAGCCGGCATGATCACAGGGTCCAGCTTGCCCAGTCTTGCATTTTTCCATGTATAGGCTTTGCAGTTTTTCAAACATTCTGTTTTTAAAAGAAGGACCGAGAAATATTTCTACACTTAAATAAACAAACAGTATTTGTGAGAAGCCCAACACTCTTAAAATCCACTTTGGACAACTAAAATGTGTATGTTAGTAACAAGGGAAGAAAAGTTTTGCAGCAATAATAAGCATAACACTTGGCTTTGCTACGGCATTATCCACATTAAAAGGGAAAGTATTTCAAGTCTCCACCATGATACTGTGTAGAATTAGGAAGAATTATTATTAGTTCTGAGAAAAATGCCTTGGAAATGTCTCTTAGAGTTTGGAAATATGTCTCCACGATCACATTTCACAGCCTGTTACCGGAACATATTGAGCTTTGGATGATGCAATGATCTACCGTTTCACAAAGTTACCAGAAAGTCTCCCATTCATTTGCATTGCAATGGAAGTAAACTTTTCAGATTGAACAAATGTCTTCACACGAAGCCCCTCTTCAGCTGAAGCTCTGCTCAACAGGAAAGCACGGGGGTGTCAGACCTGAGATATTTGCACCTCTGTTCTTAATTACAGGCTGAAAGACGGGTAAGAAGACCACAGTTTGATTTGAAGCCTTGTATTGTGGAACACAGACTCTTTTTACACCACAGAATTGAAGATTTTGGGGCCCAGAGCTCTCTGGGACCTATATTGCCATCCACTGCTATTTTGCTTTGTGGAGCAGACGGTGCTGTCTTGTGAAGCAATCTCTCAGCGTGGCAGTGCTAGGACTGCAGAACCTGTTTGTCTTTGGTTTGGCAGGCTGCAGTGCAATCCGTAAGGGCACGTTCACACTGCGACCCAGGCGCAGTGCTGGAGCCCAGGCTCCACCAAGGGCATCTCTGGGACTGAACCTCAGGGTGACTTCCACGGGGTTTCTGTCCACTCCCCCCTACATCCCTGACTGAATCAGTGAAATAGTTCAGAGCCCGTAGTACTGCTGCTGCTTTTCTACATAGACTTACCAAAGGAAAGCATAAATTGGATTATTTAGTATTTCCAGCCTTTGACACAAATTCATGGTTAATACAGAACTCAGTCCACTGTTTTCTTTCTATTTATTACCTGAAAACAAATACAGAATTCTATATAGAAACTTTTTCCTCATATTGCCTCCAAGTACTTCCTCAAAAATATTTTAGTAACCTGATTCACCAGGAAAGCCCTAGTGAATATTTCATTTGGAAGGCTCTCCAGTCATTTGACCATTACAAAATTTCCCGTTGATACCAGTGGGGTTCATGGTCTCCTCCCAGTTAAGGGTGTCTGTGATTTATGGAGCTTTTAAGAAAAACAGCATGCCTTCACTTCTTTTCAATTTGTTTGCAAAATTCACTTTCCAGTACTCCCATGCACACACTGTCCTCATCCTGTGCAATTTGGGAGATGAGTCCATGGACCGAGTAAACAGAGCTGAATATACAGTAAACTGAGATGAACATACACATGCAATACGAACTTTCTTGGGTGCCTTTCAAGGCAGCTATGCAGTCACCCACGTCCCTGGATGGCACGTAAGCTTCGGCACGTTTTCACTGGTACCCCTTCTCACACATTTGGCTTTAAAGACAGACTTGTGAGTAACGCGTGGCCCTGTTTCGTGCTCTACTGAGGTAAAGCTTCTCAGAATGTCCAAGGAACAATAATGCGGTATTTCTTGATTACCTAAGCACATAAATGTGCAGACTAATGATTTTTTTTTTTTTTTTTTAAGCAGCCAGTGGTTTTTGCTTGTTTAAGGAATTTACATCATGTAGAAATATAACACAGCTTTGAAACTGCTGGCCACAGCCCTTCACGTTCCGTCAGCCGGGGTGACTGGGCTGGAGCCTGCTGGAAGCTGCTGCGCCCAGTACCGTCGGGTCTGCAAAACCCAGCCTCCCCCCGCCGAGTTTCAAAGGGTCATCGCTTGTTCAGTGCAAAAGCAATTGTCATCCCTCAAGGCGGTGGCTGTTCGCACTTGGGTGGCGCAGCACGTAGCATATAAGAGAATATTTTCTAATAATCCTAAGGATACTACTAATAAAAAGTAGGATAACCACAAGGCTGTCTCTTAGTGAGCACACTTGCTGTTCCTTGTTGAAACTGGTCTCTCAGATTCATTTGCTGTGGGGTTATTAAAGCTAGATATTCCCCAGGGGAAAAGGAGGCTTAGTCAGCACAAGTTAGATTCTGCTCTTACTGATCTGCCTGTAAAAGAAAAAAGCTGCTATTCTAAAAGAGACCCTGTTGGAAATATGCCAAGACTGAAGCACCTCAGATGAAAGCATGGAGAAGTTCTTGGTGACAGATGCCATCAGATCAGAGCCCACTCATTATTCTCTGGAAATATTTTGCACTGTTGCACAGTCATCTGTCTAAAATCTCAGAGTGCTTTATAAATACTCACGTAGAAGAAGTTACGTTATATTAACCTCTTTTACGGAGAAGGGAAGTTTGTCATGGAGAATATCAGCAGCTCTTCTGAGTCATAGACAGCTCATGGCACAACCAGGATTAGGAGCAAAATTTCTTAATTTCTGGCTCTATCCTTAAAGCCGAAATTTATTCTGTCCTGTTCTCGAATTGCTTTTTAAAATATCAGCTAGCAGTGAAGACAGATAAATGGGTGTTTCTTTTTAAAATTTATGAGGATTGCAGAGAAGGAAAATACAGTGTTCAAAGTTTGCGGTGATTGTGTCTTTCTGCTGGTCAGTGCCTGCCACTTCATACTGCTAAGATCTCACCACTGCTTGTTCGTGGCAATGCTCAGCTTGCTCACTTCCCCGTGCTAAGTTTAGAAATATCAATTTGTTCCTAGTTCGCTAATGGACAGAAAGGGAGAAGGGCAATACATGGAGGCTCAGATGCTCTTCAGCTGTGCCAAGGA